TGTGTTCATATTGAACTTACACATCAAATACTATTTTTTTCGTATTTTGCAACAATATATTGATTAAGTTCTTAATTTCAGTTGTGTACGACTTTAACATTATTTAATTTTATTACAGGGTTTCTAAAATGGCTTCTAGTTCTTTAACAAAGCAAAAATATATGATACTATTATTCTAGAAGAATACTGGTATCTCTGCAATAAGACGACATAATTTAAAACACTTCTGCAAATATCAAACAGGATTAAATTGCATGGCCAGTAATCATAAAACGAAATACCAATCATGACTTAACAGCTTTATTTTGAGATCATGGCTGTCTCCAACCATGGAAATAATTGAAATTGATTGTTGAATATATGCAACAGTTAACGATTCTTTGCAGTAGTGCCTCAGAATACGTTTGGTAAACATAAGAAGTATATATAATTTACTTTCTATTTGGCAATGGCACACTGTAAGAGGCCAGATGGTTTTGAAAAACTCTTTTTTCTTTGTCAGGCGGCGGTTGGTCTTGGGGTTTCAGGGGTAACTGACATTCTCTCCATAAGGTTTTAATAAGCATAAAAGGAGTATATCAGTTAGAGTCGAACATCAGTCGCATGAGAAAACAAGGTGCTTGATCAGGAGATGTCAGAATGAAAATAAATGAATCAGAGAAGAACAATAATCACCCCGCTAATAACGCTCAAGACATAATCGAACAACGGCAATGAAATCTATGTATTTTGGTATATGGATTGGAACGAATCCACTATTGCGACCAAGATATCAAATAGCTAAAAACGCTAAGAAGAAATTCCGTTTTCAGTTGCTTTGAGCAGAGGAATTTATTTAGCGTGAGAAGATCGTATAATGATTATTCTACAATAAATTATTATTATTATTATAGGAAAATCAGTGTGCGATATTATTCTATAATATATGCTATTTCGCGTGAGGAGAAATCACACAATGATTATTCTATAATGAATTGTTATTATTACTGTTATAGAATAATCATTATGCTATCTATAATTATTCTCTAATACACTGCCTCCAAAGTTAAGGAACAGCATGTTTTTCAAAGCTCACCATTACAAAAATTTCAGTAACGTTTAAATTCCTAGTTCATATGCATGACGGTAACGAAGTTTAAGAAAATATATACAAAAAGCAATAGCTATCACTTTTATTTTATAGAAATAAATACTTAAATAGGAATTGGAGAAAAAATGCAAAAATTGTAATTTTTGTTCATGAGTGTTAATCTTCAGTTGTTATTATAGTTTCGTGAACAATGTCCGGGAGAGTTTATCAATATCCAGGAGAAGTCGTTTGCCCGATTCGTTGATGTGGCGGGCGATCGGATGGATGGAAATGGGAATGTCACAAGCTGATGCTGTTAGACGTCTCAATGTCTCTCGTGTGGTGCAACGACTATGGAATCGGTATGAATGCGAGGATTCTGTGTTTAGAAGACATGCTCCAGGCAGACCTAGAGTTACAACACCTGAGGGAGATCGTTATTTACCTCTTTCGGCCCGAAGAAGGAGTAACATTATTGTGCCTCAGCTCATGACAGATCATTTAGTGGCAACGGGAACAAGAATCTCAACTACTATAGTGCACAGACGCCTGCACAATACAGGTCTGCATACGAGACGGCCAGTTGTTTGTATCCCCTTGACCCGAGGACACGGAGGTGCCCATTTGTGTTTGGCAAGGGAACACGTCTTCAGGACCAATCAACAATGGGTTCTCTTCACAGACGAATGCAGGTTCAGATTGGAGAGTGATTCAGGTCGTCAGCTGATCTAGGAGGAACAACTCACCAGATACAACCAATCCCACACTGCGGAAAGACACTGTTACAGAGGTTGTTACGTTACGAAAAAATACAAAATATCAAATTAATAAATCGAATTTTCTTTGTACTAACGTTCAGTCTGACTGCCGGGTAGATCTTCATTAATCCAATAATGTGAAGTTTATTAGAACGAACGTTATTACAATCTATTTACAAAACATATACATCACCAAAAAATTTGTTACAGTTCTTCATTTGTTTTTACACAGGACCATTTTTTCCGTTACTCAGCTCTCAACTGTTTATTTATTTCAAAAACATCTACATTGCTCGAGCGCTGTTAGTCAGCGCCCTCTGTCTATCAGTTCGTGGTTTCGTAACAGAGGTGGTGAGATAATAGTTTGGGCTGGGATCTCTCTCGGTGGTCACACTGACCTGCATGTGTTCCATGGAGGAACTTTGGCTGGTGTGAGATATGGAGACGAGATTCTTGATCAATATGTCCGCCCATATGCCGCTGTTATGGGTCCAGGATTTCTTCTGATGGGCCGAAATGCGCGACCGCACCGAATTCGGTGTCCTGAAGAATATCTTGAGGGTCACTGTATGGAGCGGATGGAATGGCCTGCTCGATTCCCAGACCTGAATCCGATACAGTATCTTTGGGACCACCTTGGGAAGCAGGTTGCTGCTTTAAGTCCTCCTCCAAGGTCGTTAGATGAGCTTGAACAATTACTCTGGTGTCTGGTCGTTGCTTCCCATTTCACTGACCGACAACTTAATTGACAACATGGAACGACGCTGCCGCCAATGTGTTGCAGCTAGGGGTGGACACATTCTTTATTGGGAGACATTTTTGTAATGTTACAACACCATTTTTTCTCAAAAACTGGGATATACCGTTTCTCAAAGACTGGATTTCTCTGGAAAGAGTGCAATTTTTTTATGTAATTCATGCCATTCAAACACATTCAATGTTTGTGTTGAGTTTTAGAAACATACTATGCCGCATTCATTAAAGAACTGTTTAGTGAACATATCTGTAAATTTCTTGTTTCTATGTTGCTTCATTCTCAAATTAGACACCAAAACATTCTGTTTCTTAACTTTTGGTGGGCAGTGTATATAAAAGAGTGTGTAGTTGTGGTAGATTTGTCATAGTGTGGTAAACGATCTATTGACTATTTACTAACTGATCAGAATTTCTTGTGCTGCAGATTGAAAGCTCTCGTGTATGAGTAACTGGTTCGTGAGTACGCTGTTTCTTTCAGTATTTCTGCTGATTTTCAGGTATTCTAGACTTCTAGTTCTCCATTTAGATGCATCTACTGGACTACGTACAACTGAATGTTATATGTGCTATATAGAACGCTATATTATGTATTATACAGATACTACTAGATATTTTGCAGTGGCATCCAACAAACAGATCTGCAGTTAAGAAAGTAATGGAAAGCCTAAGTTATAGAAAAATACAGAATTTACTCGCATAATATACCTTGTGAACGATTCCAGCACGTTGAGTACGTAGATTGAGTACGTTGATTCAGTGCTCAAGTCGGTTAACCGATTGTTTGTAGCATGCAGAAGCCACACATTAATACGTATAAAATATTATGATATATTTTTTATATTGATGAATATTTATTTATAATGGAAAAAAGAGACAACAAAACAGTACAAGAAGTTTATTTCCAGAGAGTTGGTTTTTCGGGTAGACATCATTTCAAAACACGAAATAGTTATGCTTAGGCACCAGAAAATACTTGCAATGTTTGAGTTTTCTAACTCCAATGCAATACACGATAGAAAAGATCATCACTTGGTACTGGGCGGCAATAGGAACAAAGTGCAGCCAAATAAATAAATACAACATTTACTACTAAAGGTATTTGTTATTCCTGCACTGGTTTCACAGAGTTTCATTGACTTTCCACTGAGAGACGGCACTATTTCTTAATGCCGACGACTTATTTTGTTGTATTTTATTCAAAAGTTAGTTCGTTTCCCAATACAATGCTCAAAAATCTGTTCACTGAAGTTCTATAGGAAACGGGAAGAAAATTAAAAATATTTTATAATTTGTATGAAAGTGGAAGAAAAAGAAATTGAAATTTTGAGTTGCCTAATTTCCAAATCTATTGTAATAAACAAAACTTCAAGGTAACAACAGAAATTTCTATATTCTAATAGTCAGAAAGTTTGAAGTACCTAATTATGAGTTCCTGCTATTATATACTCGAGAGATTATTTACCACTTCCCTGAGGAAGGAAAATCCACTCTCGTTAATTTTTACGAATTTCTCCTTTTAAACGAACATTTTAAATGCTTATAATCTGAGAAATGTTGCTGATTTATTTTAATGGAAACTAATACTCTACATGAAACTTCATATGATTTCTGAATGTGAAGGTAAAATTTCTGAACGGTAAATGTTTCTTACTTAATATGTGTTTAGAAGTGTGGTGTAGGTGCATTTGAAGAAGAGAGGATCAGGTAATATTTTTTTCTTAAGCCAGTAGATACTCTATTTATTTTTACCTTCGATTACATTTTAATGTAGCTATATGGTGATAAACTCAAGTCGTTTAATTAACTACGGATTTAGTTAAAAGATTTCAATGCAATTCTTATGGCAAGTTTTATTTTCAAGATTTTTTAATTAAAAAATTACATGTTCATCCTGTTGGTACATTGAACATTATATAGACTACTGATATCAAGTTAAAAAACTGTTTCAAAGTTTGATAAATCAAAATTTTTCCCTTATTCCTTCATTGTTTTAAGTTAATTATAGCATTTTGAAGCGCTTATTATAAAGCATATCCTTCGACAGTTTTTAATAATTTTTACTTTGCATAAATTTCTTAATCTCATTTTGTGACAGTCACAATGTTTTGATAAGGATAAAAATTTATTAACTTTCTAATTATACGAGGTATATCAGAAGAGATTTATTAAGTGTTATTAACAGCAATTAATCAGGAGATGCGTAATGTTATATACATAATTTCAGTTAATTAATCCTGACGTACGAGTTAAAGTGCTCTGAACAGTCATCATAATGGCACTCTTATCAGATTTTTATATTAAATTATTTACGCAAGAAAGTATTCCAATTAAAATATTGAAAGCAACAAAAGAATAGAAAAATCACTTTCTGTTTATTGAAGTGAATATGTTGTAAAATTTTTCTATTATTCCTTTTTTGCAACAATCATTATAATTTAATTTTAAATGGGTTATTACAAATAAATTTTTAATCTGAAGGATAAAGCGCGTAAAAATATTAAATATTTTAAGACGATTTATGCTTTATTAAATCTGAAATAGTGTTCGAACACTTTGTAAAACAGAATAGTCGATATTAAAATAAAATTATTTAGTAACTGTCATAAATTAAAATACTTTGTATTTTTGTTATTTGAAGTAAATTATACCATTTTAAAAGGTTTTTTAAGAATATCCTAAAAGAACTTTTAATGATTATCACTTAGCATAAATTTTTGCCTTTTATATTGCCTTTAGGACAGTATAATGATTGACTAACTTTCTAATTATGCATCGTATCTCAGAAAAATACTGATTGTTATTTACGAACTTAATTTTTTTAAAACTTTCACTTGTAAAGAAGAAAAAGATAATTGGCGGGTTGGATGTTATATGTTGAACACAATTTCTTTCTCGATGACATCAAAATAAATTGAATTTATTACAGATTGCCTAAGCTTGCAGGATCCTTTTTCACAATTTTTTCAATGTAATTCAGGTTTACTGCTGAACAAAGCCGCAATGCACAACTGGTTTTACTCTTTTACAGATTGAAATGTACTGTTTGTTCTACTTCAGTTTTTTAGCAATAAGCGAGCGACGATCAAATATGTTAAGCAGAAAGTTGCTTCACATGTCTTGCATTTGAGACATTTTTTACTGTTGCATATAGTTTAAAGAGGTTTAATTCGTCCAGCAATTATAGGGAAATGTCGTGAAAAGTTTTCAAAAAGTTTGGCTGACTAAGATAAGACGAGGAAATACTGAGTTTGTCAAGAATTTCTTTCAGCTTAGATCATCACACTTTAGCTAGATTTTTTTCTAGAATATGTCTTTCAGAGATCTGTTTTCTTAGAATGACAAGGCCAGCGATAACACTGACATGGACAGACATTATACGGGGATTCGGGAAGATTATTTGCAAATAATCAAAAATCAAATGCCCTTCGCAAAGAGTTCTGGGGAACATCCGACAGGCACCCAGAAAGTGAAGCTCGACACTGGCAGACATTCTTCTTCATCTACTCTCTGGCCTTCATTTTTCACCTAAAAAAGTTATTTTTTTCAAAGTTAGTAAACTAAAAATACATAACTGAAAATCATTAAGATAAAGATTTTGTAGCAGTTTACCAGCCATACCTATAAATTAGTTAGAAATTATATTTCGAATTAACACAATTATCAGTATTTTCAGGACATTTCTTTCCTTAATTTTGCAGTGCATTACTTTTATTCTGCAAGTAGTTATTTTTGACGCTTATGCGTAAAAATATAGAATGAAGAATTATTAGAAATTCAGACCCTCTCCCCAAAATCAAGGTGAAATAATAATAAAAGATGTTTTCACAAGTTTAATATAAGGTAACATTTCAGTTATTATCTTTATATCTCCCAGGTCAGTGAAGAGTTATGGAAGCAACAAGTAATATAAAAAAAATTTTTTTTAAAGTCAATTCCTACTTAGGTCAACAAAGAAAAATTTTATTTTAGTTAGTTTTTATTAACATTATAGAGTCATTAGGTTAATTGGAAGCAGAAAAGATGAAAAATATGCAACCGCCTTCGCCGGGAATCGAACTACGGACCTCTGGAATACCGGCCCAGCGTGCTGAACCACTACACCACGAAGGCACGCTAGAGAAGTGGGAGAAATACCTTATAACATTATTAACATTGTTTCGTTTCTAATTTATGAAGCTGATAGTAGTCGATAATTTCTCATTCTATTCATCTCTTGTAATGCTTCATTATTGTAAAGACCCTTTCCAGTGAGTTTCGAGCAGTCCAGTTCTGCAATAAATATTCCATTTTATGATTTCACACGACTCAAGGCGACATATCCGACTCAAGGAATTAAAGTGAAAAACCGTGAAATGTGAAAAAAATGTGAAACAAGTTAAAGTGAAAAACAAAATGTAAAAAAAACTGTATTAATATCAAGTGTCACCCACTACAAGTTTAAAAAATGTATTTGAACTTGAGTGGATGAATAAAGTATTTTATTAACGATTAAAAATTTGAACAAATATAGGAAGAGTGTGAGCTAATAGTAGGAATTTAAAAATCAGCGTCTTAAGACACTTAACGTCAGAACTAACGAAAAAAATATGTACACAAATTGTTTAAAAGCTCACGCAGCAAATTCAAAGGGATGCCAGAACACATGGAAACAAACACCTTTCACTACAGTGCGCATAGTCGTTAAGTTAGATGCGACAGGATGCTTTACGACAGCTGTTTAAATCAAATGTCGTCACTGATGAAATTGTATGAACTGTGAACCTGACGATTTAACCGCAACTATTACGCCGGAGGGGATGTTTATGTCAGTGAAAATAAATTCATTGACGTAATTAAGTCTGGAGTTGAGGGTATCTCTTAGAGTAGGACGGAGGAAAGGAGTAAAGAAATGGACCATTGTCAAAAATTACTTCGAGAGAATTTCTAAGCCGCTATTAAGACATAGAATGTGAAAGCTATCAGCTGAGAAGCAAGGCCGTACCACAACTAGGAAGCACATTCAAATAAAATACATAAAAAATCTGATGTGTACACCACATGACTTCCTTGTACGGAATATTAAATTATACGCATTTTTTCTTGCATCTCATTTAAACTTATTGATTGAATTAAATTACTTCGCCGACAGCGCATGACCACAATAGAATAAATGCATTCTTTAAAATTCCCTCTAGTTTGTTACCATAGCGACACTCTGGCGCTAGATTAACTTAACAGTATTATATTTCGTTCATATTATAACTCAAAATGCACAAAAGTTATATCATTTAAAGAATAGAATTATCTAATCGTTGCCAATGTTCTATTCAATACTAAATAAAGCTAGAATGAGGTATAAAGAAATTAAGCAAAAAACAAAAAAACAAACAGTTTACAGACGATGAGTTTCTCATTCAATTATTCAGTTCTCACTTCGCGAGAAGGCAAAAAAATAAAAACTCAAATATCTATATTAAAATTAGGAATAAATCTTAAACACTTATTTCCTCGAAAAATTTCCAGAAAGGATTAAGCATGATATAATTGGCAATAATAAATGAAGGCGTAATATTTGTTGTTGCGAAGCTAAGTTTCTCTAGATTGGCAACAAATCCAGTAGTCTGCTCTTTCAAATGTAAACAATCAATGGCCGCCATAAAAAAAAAGGCTTAGCGGCATTTAAACAACTTTAGAATCGTTGATAATTCTAAAAATATTGCATACAGATTTACTAAAGGCATAAAAACCTTAACCGGAAGATAAGAAAAGCATAATTCAATCACTTTTAAAGCAAAAAATGTACAATTTACAAATGTATAAGAGTAAAGAAACTGAGATTACTGAGCCGGGTAACAGAGTGGATAGATATATAAATATAATATTTATATACGTTTGGTGCGGCCATTTGCAACCAAAATAGGAGGTTCACATCTACATGTTATAGCAGTTCTATATACAAAATTTCAACGTTCTGAGGCTATTCGCTTTTGAGTTATGCGAGATACGCACGTACGTAATACGTTCGTACAGAGCCACGAAATAATTCTCTTCAGAATTAATTTTAAAGCAGTTTATAATTTTTTTGGTGGAAACGAGTCTTTATTCTGTCCTTACGTACAGATATCACACAAAACATCGTTAAATTGCATTCGATAGCGGTCAAAATAGATATTTTCGTTGAAATATGCTGCCTGAAACTTTTCGCGATTACAATACTTCCTTTTTACTTCGTACAAGGAAGTAAAAAGTATAAAATACATATGCAAACATAAAGTAAACACATAAAGAATAATGATGATGCATATAAAAAACCATCGCTTTCATATGTGGGTTTGTAAACTATCCATGTCTTTGCTTGAGAGAGAGTGTCTGGAGAAATGGAAAACATATTCCACAAACACTCTTTATACTCGAAACACTCTTTAGAAACATATAAAATTCAAGAGCCGCCCAGACGGTACAGTGGTTAAGGGAGGCTATTGCGGTACTCAAGAGCCCGAGTTCAAATACTGGAGAAGGAATGGATGCTTGTAAATGTATGGTGTCTGCGCGGCATGGGGTCACTCAAAATATGCGAAGAGCCGAAAGTCTTCTCGAAAGGTTGGTGTAGAGGAAGAGTGATAGGAGATCCTCGGACTCGTCGCCCACTCGGGGTGCTTTCCATCAAAATTGGAGGCTACTTGTTTGTTGCTCAAGGCTCTTGCCAGCGACAGGCGATATCTTGCTCTCCTTGCCAAGATGAACTTCGTAGGTTTGTCCTGATGTTATTGTGAGACAAGTGAGATAAGTGACAACAACAACAGGAAATTTAAGAAAAATTGAATAAAATCGCTAAATTGCTTTGAAATTCTGCTACCTTTATTTACTTGCTCTTTATAAACACAGCTAACCCTTTCATAGTGGATAATTCTCTAAGATGACCACCTCTGAAAGTGACTAGCATTTCTGAGTAAATAAATACAAGTACTGGCAATCAATCTGATGTCTCTTAACACATCCAATTCTTCAGAAGCTCAACTGCTCTAGAATCGCGTGCAATCGGATTAAAATGGCTAAACTGCATTGACAAAAATAGTTATAAACTAAAGTCAAATAAAATTATTTAGATCAGTACTGTCAAAATATATGTATGCCCTTTTTGATAAAATATATCTCATCTGTTTGCTTGTTACGCGGTTTATTCTAACTATTTATCTTTAAAAGAGGGCTTTTTCTTTGTTAAGATCAAGTAGACAATATTAGCTTATTTCATATTTTAGACTTATTTGAATTTTTATGTTTAGCTCACATTTTTAGTGTGAAAAATACTTTTCACTTATAACTTTGGATATTCATGAAATTATAATAATAATAATAAACACATTTTAACTATATGAGGTTGATGAGGTTTGATGAGGTTTCTTTGAGAAGAAGAAAGACGAGAAACATTTATTTCAGATATACCCTCATGAGAATTTCTTTCTACTCTCACGTTTGTGACTTTTGTGGAAAGCGATATTTAAAAACGGTGTATTAGTTAGCGACAAAGCTTTCTCTCATAAAAAAGTAATAGAACATATTACATACTTTTTTTCCTATATTTCCTTATTTTTATTCATTAAACGAGTAAATAAGGTTTCAGAGAGGAACAGGGAAAGAAATAAAGTATAAACCACTAGCTTAAATACAAATAAAGCCGGCAATCGTTACGGAGACGTAATGAACTGCAGAGGTAAAAGTTTTAAACAACAACTGAAAATGCGTCTGCTGGAAAATTCAGAGAATATTATTTATGATCAAGAGGAAACTTTCCTTCGTCTAGAATAATAAGGAAAAGCTGAGACAGTTATTCATTCTAAGATCATTTTAAGTGTTACTGTTTAAAATTTCCTCCAATCCATTATTCAGAACAAGGAAAATTTGACGGCTTCCGATTTCAATGGCCTTGCCTCGTCCACTGCGTTCCATATTTCTTGATGCACGTGACAAAGGACCGAAACACAAAAGAGAGAACGTTGATGGGTAAACAAAACCAGTTTAAAGCTATCTTATAATCAGAAGGAACCCGTTCTTTAGTCATATATCATTTTTCTTAATTTTGTGCATATTATATATGTTTTAAGGTACATTTTCAGTAGAAAACAGGACTGTGGGTATTCCTGTTAAATAACGTCTAATTTCTCAATTTATCAGAAATTTGCCAGTAGTTGTAGTGATAAAAAGAATCTTAGAAATTAACAACAGTTCCAGTGTTATTTAAAAACGAGGGAAAATTTCACTCTTAGATCGGAGTTAACTGTAAAGAAATGTTATGTAAATTGCAAGAGAAGCTTCCAAAACCTTTTCTTCAAGCAACGAAATGTTGTACTGTAAACATATGAGATGAATATTGAAACTAATATTTAAAAATGCCATATTCAGGCAAACTGGAAATGCATCTTTTGAGCTTAAGTTGATTTTTTAAATTTCAAATAAACCAAACCAAAACCGGTTGCTTTATGTGCGTACCTTGTATATCAAGTATAAGGAGTGAATCATCAGCATGATTGATATCTGCCTCTGAATGT